ACACTTTGCTTTTTGTTTTGTTTGTTTGTTTGTTTGGTTTGGTTTGTTTGTTTTTTGTTTTTTCGAGACAGGGTTTCTCTGTGTAGCCCTGGCTGTCCTGGAACTCACTCTGTAGACCAGGCTGGCCTCGAACTCAGAAATCCACCTGCCCCTGCCTCCCAAGTGCTGGGATTAAAGGCGTATGCCACCACTGCCCGGCGGGGTGCACATTTATAACCCAGCTCTCTGCAAGAGGATCTGGAGTTTTGGGCCAGTTTGTGCTATGTAGGAAAACACTGCCCAAACCAAACAACAAACAAAAGATAAAAACCCCACCCAGTACTTTGAACCCAATGTAGATGCTAAGGGTGCAGCTTAGCGGTAGGTGGCTTGCTCCCCATGCATGAGGCTGTATGTTTGACATGTGGCACTGTAAAGACAAAGCAATACACAATAATGTGAAGACACAACGGATGGTCCATCTGCCCACAACGAGCAGCAGCTGAAGAGCTAACTGGAGGAAAGGTTGGCAAACAGAGCTGTCACTGTTCCAGGCTGCTTCTCATCCAGCAAGCCGCAGGCATCTTCCCAGTGTTGTGTTCCTCTAAAGTCAGAACCTTCCCCACTTTATAAGTGGGGAATCTGAGACCTTCCAAGGTCACAGAGGTTAATGGCAAAATAAAAAGAAGATTTTAAGCCGGGCGGTGGTGGCGCACGCCTTTAATCCCAGCACTTAGGAGGCAGAGGCAGGCGGATTTCTGAGTTCGAGGCCAGCCTGGTCTACAGAGTGAGTTCCAGGACAGCCAGGGCTAAACAGAGAAACCATGTCTCGAAAAACCAAAAAAAAAAAAAGAAGAAGAAGACTTTAAACCCTGATTCCCACTCTCTTCAGCTACCTTTCTGGACATGCACACACTCATTCATCTAAATCCAATGCTAAGAGCTGATTAACAATTTGCCTTGATGAAATATGCTGGGGGTAGACCCCTAGTGCTCCAGTGAGGGAAGGGAAGGCTTCTCAGCTGCTCTCTTGGAAACGACAGGAAATACCTGTAAGTCCTACAGATGCCAGGAGTCAGGACGTCTGTGGCACTTATATTTCAATATGACAATTCATTTCAATGCATTTCTCTGCCTGTTGTCCTCCCCTCCCCCTCTCTGGAAAGAGGAGTGGCTCTTGCCCCCTGCTGCTGGATGACTTTAAAAGGCTGTCTTCTCTGCTCTGTAACCTGATGCTCACAAGCAGACACCCAGCTCTGTCACTTGAGAGTCAAGTCAGTTCTACAGAACTAAAGCTCCGTGTCTATTCTCAGTTTCAGAATGTCCCCCAATCAAACCTAAAGAGCACCCTGGCAAAGCCAGAGGTCGGCTCAGCAGATGGAATTACATGCCACATGCTCACTCTCTGAGGGAACGCTCCAGGAGGACACAGCAGTTCTTGAGCCCTTTTAGATCTCAACCAAACCAACAGATTCTCTTGGTGATCCTAGCCACACAGAGGGTTCATGGCCAGGATGTGGGAAAGCCTGGGTATGCCTGACCATGACAAAACAGCAGAGTGCTGAGGCTCTGGAGCAGACAGGGAGGCCCAGAAGCTGGCTGGCTCCCTTGCAGGCTTGGCAATATTAAGCTCTGTGCCTCTGTGCACTTGCTGAATGAGCACCGTTCTCATCAGGCTGAAGCCAGGATGAGCTAACACACACACATGCTGCTGAAGACGGCAGGGCTAGGGAGGGTTCAGTACATGTGTAGAGAGAAGGAGACACGCTGCATTTATCCTGTACACAGCTGTCTAGTTTACACTGTCTCACATTGTAGCCCAGTCTGGCCTCACGATTCTCTTGCCTCAGTGTCGTTTTTCAAGAGAGAGTTTCTTCCTGTAGCCTTGGCTGTCCTGAAACTCTGTAAACCAGGCTAAAATTGAACTCACAGACATCCTTCTGCCTCTGCCTCCTAAGTGCTAGCATTAAAGGTGCCACCAGCACTCCAAGTGCTGGAGTTATAGAAATGAGCCACCACAGATGGGCTGTTCTGGTTTTTTGAAAGTGTCTCCACGTAACCCAAACTGGCCTCAAACTTGACCCCCTCCCTCCTCAGCCTCTGAAGTACCACATTACAGGCCTGACCCCTATACCCAACTTAGTGTGATTAAAAGAATCTCTCTTCAGCACTAAGTGCACATGATGAGTGCTCCAGAAACTAACATACCAACAAGAGCACGACGTCAGTGCTCCTCCAGGGCGGGGTGGGGAGCCTCACACTGAAGGTTAAGGCTGCTACCTAGCAATTCAGGAGGAGATCAGTCATACCACATCCTCCACGGACATCCAAACAAGCTGACTCACCTTGGGGAAAGTGTGCCATCACGAATACACCTATATAGAGAAGCTTCTGCTTATCTTCAAGTCATCTTTACAGGCAGAAGAGGCCATTTAAACACACACACACACACACACACACACAGGCTGGAGAGATGGCTCAGCAGTTAAGAGCACTGACTGCTCTTCCAGAGGTCCTGAGTTCAATTCTCAGCAACCACATGGTGGCTCAGAACCACCTGTGATGGGATCCGACGCCCTCTTCTGGTGTGTCTGAAGACAGCTACAGTGTACTCACATACATGTAATAAACAAATCTTTAAAACACATACATGGAAGAGAAAAGAAAGAAAGAAGCAGATACAGACATGAAGTCCATTTTCTAAGCTGCCTTGGTGAATGAGGAGGAACCCTCGCTTGGCTCTCAGAGACGGAGGAAACACTCGTGCTAACTGCTAAGGCAGAAGGAGCACAGTAAAGACAGACATTTGGTAAATATTACTTGGCATAATCTGATTTGAAGCAGAAGAGGTGTGTATGTGAGTGCGTGCGTGCGTGCGTGCGTGCGCTCCCGCCTGCTGTTTCTTCTATAGCACAGACTTCCAAGGTATTGGGATTTGAATGGGGACAGGCTGAGAGGAGATTCTGAGGAGTTAAAAAGCAGGTGTTTATCATGACCTGCCTGATCCCCTGAGAATGAGAACTGAGGAGAACCACCAGCATGTGCCCTGCTTCCCGCCTGGCCTAGAACTTGCCATTTGGCCCAAACTGACCTTGAATTCATAGAACTCTTCTCAGCACTGTGATGAGAGACATGTCCCTTACACCTTTACTTAGAAAATACTACAAAGTACTGTTAGAAGAGGGGTTACCCAGGATAGGCTAAGAGCCAGCACCGTCAACCTTCCTGAACACAATTTCTCCGAGTCACTCAGCAGCCCCAAATCTCTAAAACCTTCCCCGGCCTAAGGAGGGGATGACAGCCTCTCAGGCAATGCAGCCCACTCAGCTCTCTACTCTTGTTCTGCCACAGGCCAGCCCACTTCCCTTATTTCTTTCAGGAGGAACAAACTCGGGACACTTCAGCCCTGTGTCCGTAGCACCTATCACAGAACTGGCACGTGGAAGTTGTTCAGTGACTGTTAGCCAAGTTTATAAACACAGGGGTGTTAGCTGGGCAGTGGTGGCGCACACCTTTAACCCCAGCACTTGGGAGGCAGAGGCAGGTGGATTTCTGAGTCGAGGCCAGCCTGGTCTACAGAGTGAGTTCCAGGACAGCCAGCGCTATACAGAGAAACCTTGTCTCAAAAAACCAAACCAAACCAAACCAAACCAACAAAACAAAACAAAAAACCAAAAAAACAAACACAGGGGTGTTTTAGACTTACACTCTGCACCTCCCTCCAGGTGACAGCCCTTTCCCACCAGCCCAGTCAGTTCTCAAAGTCCCACCCAAGTCCCTCAGCACAGCCCCACAATCGCCCACAGCGCTCCCTCCCACTCTCAATTCCTGCAGAACTCAGTCACTGCAGACCTCCTCTCTTATCTAACATTTCCTGGTGTGTGTTCTATCTGCCTCACTAATGTGGCAGTTTTCTGAAGACAGAGTTTTCAGAGGTAGCAAGAGGCAAAAATAAAAAAAATGGTTTTCAGCAAGGCAGATCTACTTATAAGACAGGGAGGGGATTTCATGTAAAGCACTGGAGAGGGCCCTGGAGCAGGTACAGTCTCAATATGCCAGCTTCTACCACTACTCGTGTTTCAGAACCCCAGGTCTCTCACTGATGAAGTGAAATGAGAGGGACAGCGAGTCCTGAAACAGGCAGACACAGTGGCCCAGCCTTGTAATCCTGCATTCAGGAAGTCACGACAGAAAGACTGTCATGAGTTCTAGACCACAGAGTGAGTTCCCGGACAGTTTGTCCAACCAAGTGAAACAATTAAGAAAATAAAATATAATAATAAACTTGGTGTGGTAGTCCACACCTTTAATGTCAGCACTCAGGAGGCAAAGGCAGGTGGAGCTCTGTACGTTCAAGACCAATCTGGTCTACCTAACAAATTCCAGGACAGCCAGAGCTACGCAATAGAGACCCTATCTCAAAAACCCAATACAATAAAGTAGTTCTCTGGAGATGTAACACTTGTCTATCATCCATAAGGCACAGTATGTCCTCTCTCGGGTAGGTCTTCATGTACAGAACAGTGTCTGGGCCGTCCTCCGCACACAGACCACTCAAGAGTCATCTGGTAGCTGTTTTATAAAGCCTCACGCAGATGCAGAGATGATACAGATTTGAAGTCTACAGAGCCTAAGAGTTGACTCCGTAGCCTAAGATCGCCGTGAATTCTCAGCAATCCTCCTGCCTCAGCCTCCCAAGTGCTGGCATGACTGTGTACAACTCCAAAGCCAGGGGAACTTCATTCACTGAACAAACATTTACTAAGGCTTTTCGTTTTGTACCAGGTTCTGTGCTAGGTCTAGCACACAACAGTAAACTCAGTTCTTGCTCTTGCTGGTCAGGACTGTTTAAGGAGGTGCTCTTAGAAAGGGGAACCCTCAGGAGGGCTCCAAGCTCCCCCAGCCTTGCAGCACCAAGACACCGGGCCCGTAGAGCCCCCTGCCATATCAACAAACGTGTTCTTAACAGGGCTCTACTGGTCACTTGAGGCCCTCAGCCAGTAAAAAGATTACACCCTTACCGCCACTGGCCTGTTTCCCAGGAAGTTCAGGTCGCTGTTCTCACCAAACAGGTACCCTTCCGGATGCGCGGAGTCAAACTTCTCTCCTCCCATGATGAAGTGGCTGGCAAAATAGCTGCCTGGAGGGGGACAGACAGAAAGAATCAGAGGAGCAGAGTGACGTGAGGCTGGATGGAGGGGGAAACGCTGTAAGAGGTTAGGACTCCCAACCAAGAATCAGATACATTTCTTCTGACTTCAGACCCTGGCACAAAATCAGCAGAGGCTCATCAGGACAGAAACAACAAACCAAGAGGCGACTTCTGCTCTGGTAACAAGTTTGAGTCCTTATCCTGACCAAAAATACCATTAACCAAGGCCAAGAAAGTCCATGAATGGCCACTGATGAACCTATTTGCATTTTGCTACTCGGGATGTGTGTGTGTGTGTGTGTGTGTGTGTGTGTGTGTGTGTGTGTGTGCACGCATGCGCACACACATGCGCCAGCCAGAGGTCCACATCAATGCGACCTGCAGCTCACAGACTAGACTAAGCTGGCTGCCCAGTGAGCCCAGAGACTGACTTGTTTCCCTGTCTCCATAGCTGGGTCTACAAACAGACCGCACTGTTTTTACAAGGGTCCTCAATCTCACGAGGCAAACACTTTAACAACTGAGCTATCTCCCAACACCCAGCTTGGTTTGTTTCTTTGTTTTCTGAGACAGGGTCTCATCTGTGTAGTCCACGAGGGCCTAGAACTCTCTATGTAGACCAAGCTAGTCTTGAACTCACAGAGATTTGCCTGCATATGACTCCTAAGTGCTGAGACTAAAAGCATGCACTGCCACCACAAGTCCTCTGTTCGTTTTGGGGGCACAGAGTTTCACTCTGTGAAGCCCTCACAGGCCTAGAGCTCAGATCTTCCCGACTCAGCCTCCCAAGGGCTAGGATTATAGGCATACACTAGCAGGCTCAGCTTGGTCCTGGGTTTTCCACCTCCCCCTGAGGTGGGTCCTGAGCATTTGAGAATCCTAACTACACGTATCAACAATTTATACACATGTATCATTTTTGCCTGGAGTTTTTAAACCCAGCTCATACCCACAGTTTCCCCGCCTGCCTCTTGGCACTACTATACCTCCACAACCCTTCCAATGCAGGCTCTCCACACTGACTAGCTGCTGAACAAGGGAGTTGGCCAGCACAGTGGTGTGTACCTGCAATCCTAGCTCTTGGAAAGCTAAGGCATAAAGATCCAAGGCCAGCCTGGGCTACAGAGTAAGATCATCTCAACAGTCAACAAGAAACTTGAGGACTCTGGCAAGCTTAGCAGGAGGGTTCTCAACCTGTGGGCCTCGACCCATTCTGGATTGAGTAAGACCTTTTCACTGGGGTTAAGGACAATCCTGCATATTACGTATTTAGGCTGTGACTAATAACAGTAGGAAAATTACAGTTATAAAGTAGCAATGAAAATAATTTTATGGTTGGGGGTCACCACAACATGAAGAAGTAACTATATTTAAGGGTCATAGCATTAGGAAGGTTGAGAACCCCTTATCTAGTGGCTTATTTTAACTCTGATAGGGACACAAATTCCTCTTATTCTAAACTTTTTGGTTGGCTGGTTTATTTGTTTGGTTTTGGGTTGTTTTTGAGACAGGGTCTCATGTACCCTAGGCTGGCTTCAAACTTGTTTAATTGGCTGAGGTTAGCCTTGAACTCCTTCCTGCCTCTACTTCCCAAGTGCTAAGATGACAGGCAGGCTGCACCACATCCTGCACCCTCAAATTTCCCTAAACTGACAATAGGTTTGACTATCCAAGGGAAAGACTCATACCTTAGAAAACTTTGTCAATATGCTCATATACTTTTGCATCAGATTAATGCAAAGAACTTAGGAAACCATGAAGTCTTGCGTATAATACAGCTAGGGTAAATATAAACTCCCAGTCCACTGTGATTTTTGAGATTCCTTTCAGTAAGCTGAGAAACTGAGTTTTAGCACTTTCTGCTACAGAGAAGCCACAGGAAGGGAGAAGGGAAGACAGCTAGACCAGAAAACAGAGCTGAACCCTCAGATCTTCCTTTCTAGACTCGGAGCTTTAGTCCAGAAACACTTACTAAATGGACCATGTGGCTGAGATCACTCACCAAAGTGAGGCCATTCTTAAACTAAAGATCAGGAAAACACCTGCAAAGAGCAGCTGTGCCCAAACCAAGGGGCTGCTCCCTGAAGCCCGCTGAACCCAGAAACACAGCAGCTGGCCGCTGTGACGAAGCACGCAATGAGTCCAGGACAGCATCGCTACCCATTCATTATTCATGCTGCACACTTGCTGCCCCTATTTTCCAAGCGCATAATTGATAAAGGGGAGGAGCCTACTTGCCTTCAGTAGAAAGCAGTCTTCTCAAATGAACAACTGAGCCTTTACCATTGGTTCTGAGACGTATTTCCTACAGAGCAGGAAGTATCTGTTTCTGAGACATTAGGTGAATCAGGGAAAAAAGATTTGGCTGGGTGTGGTGTTGTGTGCCTATAGTTATGTAGCCCGAGCTACAGATTGAGATCCAGCCTCAAATAACTAAACCGAACCAAACCAACCAGCCAACCAACCAACCAACCAACCAATCACAACAAAAAACCTAAACAAAACAACAACAAAACCCAACCTAAAAGCTGAGAGAGATGTAGTTCAGACATGAAGCATTTACCTAACATCTCTGCATGGTCCTGGGGCCACTCTCAGCATTGCAAACACAAGACAAGATAAGCTGTTTGTTTGTTTGTTTGTTTGTTTTGTTATATAGGCTCTCCAGTGACATGCTGACCTCAAAGTCATTAGGTAGCTGAGGGTAACCTTGAACTGCTAGCCCTTCTGCCTCTACCTCCTACCTCCTGAGATCGCAGGTCTCTGCCACCATGCCTGGTCAACCTCATCAAATTTTATAAGAAGGAAGGGGCTGAGGATGATGGTGGTATCCCTTTAATCCCACTCCTCAGGCAGCAGAAGCAGTTGGATCTCTGTGATCATAGGAGTCCCAGGCCAGCCACAGCTATACAGAGAGAACCTGTCTCAAAAAGATACAGAAAGCTAAATGGAGTTTTTGTCTTGTATTAAAATCAAGGGCTGCCTGATGCAGTGGTACAGACCTGTAATTCCAACATCCAAGAGACAGAGGAAGATGGATCGTCAGTTCAAGGCCAGGTCAGCCTACATATTGAAATTCCATTAAAAACAAAAGCCCACCAAACTATGTAGCACAGCAGTATGTGCCTGTAGTCCCAGAGACATAGGAAGCTCCATCAGGAGGATCACCGTGTCCAAGAGTGCAAGGACAGCTTGCCCTCCTCCTACCCTCAAATCAAGTTTTGATACACAAAATTTAAAATCAGTGCCAATAACACAGGCTAAAATGATTTTCGAAGGGCGTGGTGGGACACACATGCCTTTATTCCCAGCACAGAAGCAGTCAGTTCGAGGTCAGCCTGGTCTACAGAGTGAGTTCCAGGATGACCAGAGCTGCACAGAGAAACTCTGTCTTGAAAAAAAAAATCATTTGTGGAGATTCCTATCAACCAAAGATGGAACTCAATGCTGTCTGCAAAGCTTATAGCACCTCTGCCTTCCGGTCCCGTGAGGGCCCTGTGGATCAAAGACCCCCATGACTGAAGAAAGTAAAGAGAGACAATGGGTAAACTCAAATCCCTGTCCCAAACTCAACTCCATCCGACAATCTGAGAGAGGAGGAGCAGTGGGAGAGGAGGACCACCCACTCCTCATGAATAGGAGCATACATCTCAGCTGTGCTGTTTACATACACACAGACACAGACGAGAGGCCAGAGCATGCAGGCACAAACCTGTCTGGCTCTTCCTTTTTCTGTTCTTATTGTGGTAAAGAGAGACAATGGCTGAGATGATAAAATGTTCACCCTGATAAAGTGCAGGGAACCTTTCCTTTCTGGCAGAGGCAAACAAAGACCGTACTTCAGATCCTTCAGACTCGAAAGCATTCTGTTTCTACACCAAACTGCAATCTTTTGTTTTGCTTATCTCGTGGAGGAACCAGTATACCCAGCACACAGTCCTTGTCCAGAATAAAATAGGAAATGAAACAGAACTGAAGGCGGCATGGCCTGTTATAATTCCACAAGCAGAAGCCTGACTTCTGAATGGAGACAGAAGATTTAGACCATAGATGTTTTCAACACATAATCACTATGTAGCATTCGGGAGAGCAAAACACAACCCCACATGTTTAGACCCGAGAAATGGTGAGTAATTTACTTATTGTGGCAAAATTCCAAACTCAAATCTTCAAATTTTCAAGTCAGAAAAACTTTATATTGTATCGGGCAAACATCTACAAATAATTTTAGATTTTAGCAGTGGCTATCTCATACTAATGGTTCTTGCTGGAAAGCCTCTTTGCATATTTTCCCTTATTAAGGTCACAGTATAAACAAATATCCTGCCTGTAAGTGGAAAATATTAATCTTGTACTATTTAGTTTTGGAGTAATGGAGTTATATACTTGATTATTCCAATAAATGGAACTGTATTTAAAAATAACTTTTTATTTAATGTAGCTTAACAACAAAGCCCGATAAATTTAATTGGGCCACACAGCTGGTTGATGCCAGCATTGGGATTAAAAATCTAGCTCTGTTTTAAGCTAAAGCCTGTATTTTGAAGACCTTATCGCAAAATAAATAAATGAAGCCAACCTCTTCCCCCAAACAAAGAGGGCCGTTGTTATTACTCCTGCAGCAAACGGTCTTCATTTTAATAAATAAGCAAGACAGAAGGAGAGTTAATGACGAGGTCTCAGAGGCGATGAGCATTCAAGGCTCCACACAAGAAGGGAAGAGCTGGAGACATCGGTAGAGCACCTCCCAGGAAAGCAGAGGACTACGTTTTCCCAGCACCCATGTAAAAAGCTGAGGACAGCAGCCCATGCTTGCAATCCCAGCATTGTAAGGAAAGGCAGGTGGGTCCTGGAGCTCACTGACCCAGCCAGCACAACTCAGTTGGTAAGCTCCAGGTTCAGTGAGAGAGCCTGTCTAAAAAACTAACGGGGGAGGGGAGGGGGAGCAGTCTGACTCCCCCAAGAAAGCACATGCACATGCATGAACA